TAAATCAATAGATTCAAACAAAAACTAATCCATTTTTTTTTAGAGGAATGAATTTAAATACGTGATAATATGAATATTGTTAAAATGTCGGTTTGATTGTTTATTTTTTTATGGATATTGAATTTCCAAGATATTTTTTAATTATGGGTTAAAATATGATCGGATCCATGTTAATTCCGATAATTATATGAATTAATTATTTATATATTTTAAGAAGTGATTTAGGTATTTTTGGAATATTTTAAGAGAAAATGATTAAATATTTTATGAATAAATTATCTATCCACTCTACGGTTTTTCATCCTAAGAAATCCTAAGTTGTCTTAAACACGCGTCTTGCGAATAAAGAGTGTTTCCCACAAAGAGTTGTATTTATCAATCTAATATCAGATTGATGTGGGTGTAAGCTATCTAATCCTTAGAATACTTTGTGTGATTTGTGGTTATAGTTGTGTCTGATCTTCTATATTAAAAACAATTACTTGGAATTATTAATGTGTAAGTTTATTTGTGTTTGAATAACCTGTGACTATGCAAGTTTTCTATAAAAAAAAAAAAAATGGTTAGATATTATCGAATTATTACCCACATAATAGGTAAAACCAAAACTAAAACCATAAAGACTCGTGTATGAACTAAGCAATAGTAAAAAATGGAGATTCAAATTTATGACATCTCGATATCAACGTAAACTATGCACAGATTAACGATAGTACTCGAAAAAGTGTGTAGGGCACGACGTACATATAGGGAATGTGGAAAGTGTGGAAGAACGTTGTAGAAATAGAGCACAAAGCACAGAGATTTGATTCCAATGGGTGCCACTAGAATTGGAAGCAAACCCAATTCCCCAAATCATGAATTTTCCAAACAATGCCCTTTGTACTTATTAGCTAAACTATACCAAATTTCATACTAAATTACAAATTTCCACATCCCCCAATATCTCTCTACTCAACAAATTCCAAAATTTCACCCCTTTTTATTATTATTTAATCTATATTTTTTTAATATATAAATTTCACCGATAATTTAGGTTGAATATTTGGAATTATTTGATCTAGGTTCAGTTGGTCCAAGTCTATTTTAAATATTTTAAGTTACTTTTTTTTATTATAATTTTAAAACCGATTAAAGTGCAGAAATATTAAGTTACAGCAATTTATAAATGACGTCATGGACTTGAATGTTTAGGGTAAAACTTTTAAGACAATATAAAAATATTTAAAATGAAAATGAGAAATAACGTAAGAAAAATAAAATAATGTCATATTCTAACCCAAGACTACGAAAAGATGAAATGCATCTATCCTAACATAGGTTATATGTGCATTGCCTTTACTGAAGTGAAAGAGTAGCACATTGTTTGAATATTTTAAGAAATACTCAGTAAGTGATCTTACTATCCGGTTGGAAAATGCAAACACGTGCAATATGGAGGGACCTATCATTTTAAACATCATGACAAACATATATGTCATTATCATACTCGTAATATACGTGTCTGAACTCATCATAACGAGAAAGTATCCCGATGCAAGTAAACTTACAATTATGCATGAAGTTCCACGTTGGCATAATAAATGATGCAAGACAAATCTTCATTCTTTTATAACCGATTAAGTCGGTAAATTGCATACATAACATAGTTTTCATGACATGACATAAGGAGATTGTGCATCAAAGATTACCATTTCATGACAATTTCATACATTGCGGCATGACAACATCTTGGTATAGCTTAACGTGACATATACTAGCATAACATACCATACCGTGACATATCATGTCATATTGTTGCATACCGTAGCATAACTTGATGTATCGTGTATCATAATATAACATGACATAACATCGCATATCAACATATCACACATATAATGCGTGCAGGGACCATAGGACACGTGTTATCATATAAAAATCAATTATTCCAACTAAGTCCATAGTGAAACCACTTACTTGATTGAAAATTTCTAAAAATATCAAAACATTTCGTTTAAAGGTAAGATCCAAATATCACAACAAAAACGTCTCAAACAATTCGTGAGAGCAATAATACTAATCATTATTTATTTATTTTTATTATAATTATCTATGGCACCAACTTTTATAATTTAATCCATATGGATCTTGATTTCAAATAATTATTTAAAATGACTTAAAATAACGTAAATAAAATATTGTAACTAACTGTGCGAACTATTTAAAAATAAAATCAATCTAAATTATTCCAATTTTAATCATACAATTTAATTATAATGAAGATAATTGTATAAAATTTGAGGGCCCTTTTCCAACGAATGGGTGTGTTTTGTGTCATCAATTTTAAAATTTATTTATTCAATTAATATATAAACCCAACGGTTTGTCGGTTTTCTGAGCCATGCGCGTCGCACAAATCAGCATTCAATCAACTTTACGGATTTTATTTTAAAATTGTTGCCCATTCGTTGACCAATTCAAGGTATAATTTATTTCTTTTTTCTTTATTTTATATATATATATATATATATTGTTTTGGCTTGTCTCCTTCCATTTTATTAATAAAGCCGTGATGACCAAGAAAACAGATACGCTAATGCTTGATCCCACAGTTAAGATAGTCGCTCGAGAAGTTGTGCAACAGTTTCCAGCTTTGCCCACGAATCATGTTAGTTCTTGGAGTGCCCAACCCCTATCAAAAATTGAGACGGCTCAAGAGGCATTGTCAAAGAAGTCAGCACTAGCAGAAGTTTTGCATTGCGATCTCTCTCTTGAAGCACTTCTTAGGGAAATTCACGTGCTAGTCATGCAACAACTACGTTCACAGTGTGAAAGAGGGCGAGTGTATCCCTCACTTTCAAGAAATGAGAAATATGTATCTAGAAATACCCTGATCTAGAAATATCTACGTAGATGGATACCGTGCCCTTCCATGAGTATATATTCACTCATCTTCTCATAGGCTATATGTTAGCAAATGTAAGAGCGGATCTTTCAAAGAGTAAATATTAACTATTATTGATCTTCAAATTTAACTTTAATCGTAATTTAGAATTTGTGTTTAAAACTGGTTGACTATGCATTCCCGTGCACCCTCCATGACATGACTATACAATATGCTTACGGCTTCTAAAAATGAAAACTATCGCACATTAAGCTTTAGAGTTATTACGATCGAGTCACTAAAAATGAAAGTGCACATCTTTAAATAAGTTATATAGTTTAATTTATCCACATTTTTGTCTAATTAAATAAACTATTTATGCACGTGGAATAAAAAAAACTATATTATTTAATTTAATAATAAAAAAAAGCAGTTGATTGGAACGTTGATTAAAAAATAAATGTAAATGACAAAATTAAATTTTATGATTTTTTAACCCACTCCAATTTATTAAATTTAATAATGAATCCAAATATATCATAATATATTATTTCCAAACAGTTATCAATTCTCTATTCTTCTCCACGTTGAACAGTAAAAAAAAAAAATCATTATTACTTTTCTTTATAATTTAAATAAACTCATTATTTAAATTAAATATTTAAAATGAACTAATATATTAACTAAAAGAAAAAAAAAGGAGAATTAAATTAAAAAAAACATTACATTATTCCAACTAAAAGTTTTAAAAAGTTTGGAATTAAATAACATAATTATTTAAAAATTAAATGATTTAGTTTTTTTTTTAAATTTATTATGTGATTCTGTCACCCAATGGGGAGACCCTATTATTATTATTATTATTAATTTTAGAAAGTGGGAAACCCTAATTAAATGATAGGGCATTAGCTTTATAAACAAGGTATTTTTTTTATTAATAATTATCATATAAATTAAGTTGGTGTAATTTTAATTTTAATTTAAAAAAGCTGAACTTTATTTTTTTATCTTTTGATTTAAATTTATTAAATCGAAAAAAGAAATTTAGTTAAAAAGGTTAAATACTTTAGGAGGTTCGAAAGCTGCGACACGATCCGGGATACGTGGCACCGAAGCCGAGGACGTCAGCCGCCAAAACGCCGTCGTCTGGTCAACAACAGCGGCAGGGGCAGAGACAGCTGCTACAATCACTCAGCCGTGAGGGAAATCTGTGATCGTTTTCTGACGGCGTTAGGAAACGGTGTCAGGTAACGTAGGTGAAGAAATGGAGATGGATGGGGACAATGACGGTGATGGGTAACGGCGAGTGGACCCCACGTGGGGGACCTGCGGCTAGGAGAGTGTCGGGAGGTAGAGATGTATTAATTTTATTTTTTTTTATTTGTTATAAATGATGACTTGGGAATGTGGTTGAGTTCACGTTTTCGCATTAATGAGAAGGCTGGATGTGTTGGAGAAAGTGCCACTAGTTTTGGCTTTATTTACGATTTTGGGTTTTCAAATTTTTTTAAATTATTTTTTTCCTTTTTTTTCCTTTCAAATTAGATGATTCTATTCACCTTTCTTTTATTTATTTTTATTAACTCAAATAAAAATTTTAAAAAATAAAGTTAATGGGTCCCACAAAGAGAAATTGTGAATGTTAGTTTTGTAATTATAATGAAATTGGAGGGCCTTATAAGAAATTAAGAAACTAAAGGTTCATTGGGCAAAAATTGCAGAGGAAACTGGTTTGAATTGCAGGCTGATGAAGAACAGAGACATGGTTGCATTTGTACAGTGCGAGCTAATCTTTGTATCTATTCGACCAATTCCCAGGCTTTTGTTTCCCTCTAAGTTTTACTTTTTGAATTAAAAAGGTCTGACTTTTCTTTTAACACGGCCAATCGGAATAACCTATTAACGATGGTTAGGTTAATTTAGAGAATGATCATGGATTTATGAGTAACAAATAATTCTCCAGTGATACGAGAGCTTAGGTTTAAAGTAGACAATATCGTACCAATGGGTAAATTCATGATTCTTAACCTAATCCATTAACAAAATTTTTTTTTTTCGACCAATTTAAGCAAAGTTCCATTTGTTTAAGCCATTAAGGTAAGTTTTACCTATGAAATTTATTGGAAATTGAACAAAAAGTTGGAATCATATGAGAGATTAGCCTAAAATGTGATAAAAGTTCGTGAAAAGTTATGATTGTGAAACTGATTTTCAAGGGGTTGTTTTGAAATCTCTCTCTTAGACAGACACACACATACCCCACAAAGCTGATTGATTGTTCTTTTCACTCAAGGGTTTCTCTCTCTTCTCTCTCTCTCTGAAAAGCTTTTGAACAAAACAAGAGAGAAGAAGAGGGGAAAAAGATCACACAATTTTATGTTTTGGGTTTTCATTACTCTGTTTTTCTTTTCCCTTTTACAAAGTTCAATCTATCCTCTCTTTTCGGACCCATTTTGGCTTGTTTCTGTGACTCTGCTGGCTTGACGTGAAAGAAGAAGGAGACCCATCAAAGGGAAGAGGGTGAAAAAGCAAGCCCTCGCTAAGATTTGGATAACAACTTGTTTCTGGGTTTTGTTTTTTAACTGTTGTGAGCAGCTTTTTTGCTCTGTTTTGATTGAAGATTTGGTGGATTTGGGCGGTGAGTTCTAAGTTTTACCGTGTGTATTTTGATGAATCAATGTTCTATTTGGTTTCTCGCTTGATTTTGTTTTCCCTTTATCAGATTTGATGAAGCTTTATTTGAGCTGATTGAGTTTATTTTTCAGCTGAGTTCTGTGTGAAGGGATTAACAAGAGCTAGCTGGCTTCTGTCGTGTCACTGCCTTTGTTCCTGTTTTGGTTGGACATTAGAAATGAAACATATTGTTGTCTGAAGTATCTTTGTTTTACTGAATTCCCTCAAATCCATGTTGAATGACACCCATTTTTGGTGATTTGAAAGCTCAGTGGAGGTTCTTAGTTCAAAATGAATTGAGAAATCATCTCTGCATGTGGGTTTGCTTTCCTTTTTGTGAATTTTGTATACTGATTAAGATGAAATGAAAAGGGTCTTGTTATTGTAACTTGAATCCAACATTGTGGGATGACAGTTCGATAATGCACATGTTTTTCTGGGTTTGGTCCTCATTCATGTCTTTGAGCAGCAGTGGCAATATCTGCTTCTAGGAGTGTGAGAATTGACTTTGTAAGAGTGAAAATTTTCGACGAAACGACGCGGTAATGAGTCGAGAATCGAAGCGGGGAAAGCAGGACAAAGGTTCTGATGATGCTCAGAAAGTGATTGTTGCAGTGAAGGCTTCCAAAGAAATTCCTAAAACTGCACTTGTTTGGGCGTTGACTCATGTTGTTCAAATTGGTGATTGCATAACTTTGCTGGTTGTTGTTCCTTCTCAAAGCTCTGGTATATTTCTCCCTTTCCTTTCCCTCATTTTGATATTGGTTAATCATTTGTTCATCTTCCAAATGTTGTCTGGAAACATGTTTGGGAACCGATAACAGCTTAGACTGCTATTTATCGTATAGTGTGAGATCCCACGTCGGTTGGAGAGGAGCACGAAACACCCTTTATAAGGGCGTGGAAACCTTTCCCTAGCAAACGCATTTTAAAGCCTTGAGGGGAAGTCCAAAGAGGACAATATGTGCTAGCGGTGGGTTTGGGCCGTTACATTATCACAGTGTGAGATCCACGTCGGTTGGGGAGGAGAACGAAACACCCTTTATAAGCGTGTGGAAACCTCTTCTAGTAGACGCATTTTAAAAATCTTGAGGGGAAACCTGAAAGAGAAAGTCCAAAGAGGACAATATCTGCTAGCGGTGGGCTTGAGTTGTTACACATAGTTTTCAATCATTTGTTCATCATGTCCTTCAGGTAGAAAATTCTGGGGTTTTCCGAGATTCGCTGGGGATTGTGCGAGTGGTCACAAGAAAGCTCACTCTGGAACGAGCTCGGAGCTGAAATGTGATATCACTGATTCATGTTCACAGATGATCCTTCAGCTTCATGATGTTTATGATCCAAATAAGGTTAAAGCCTTCTTGGCTGTTTGAAGAGTAGAACTGAAATTAGATGACATGTTTCTTGAAATGGAACCTTGTCTTTTGCAGATCAATGTGAAAATTAAGATTGTTTCGGCGTCGCCTACCGGGGCCGTGGCCGCTGAGGCCAAGAGAGCTCAAGCTAGCTGGGTTGTATTAGACAAGTAAGTCTCTCTTCTGCTCACTTCTCAGTTCTTCCTATGATGTTTATATAATTATTTCTAATTGTTTCAGACATCTCAAACATGAGGAGAAATGTTGCATGGAAGAGTTACAATGCAACATTGTCGTAATGAAGCGATCGCAGCCGAAAGTTCTTCGTTTGAACTTGGTTGGTTCTCCAAAGAAGGAACCAGACATGCCTTCTCCATTACCTTATTATATAGACGACGGGTCCGAAAGCAATCGAAAAGAAAACGATCCTCTCGATTTCATTCGAGGACCAGTTGTGACTCCCAATAGCAGTCCAGAGTTAGACACGCCTTTTACTGCTACCGAAGCTGGAACATCATCAGTGTCGAGCTCAGATCCTGGAACTTCTCCATTTTTCGTCTCGGAAATGAACGGAGACACGAAGAAAGAGGAGTTGTTTGTTATCAAGGAAAATAAAGAACTTGATGCTGCTAGTTCAGACTCAGATATTGAGAATTTATCTGTTTCTTCGAGGAGTTTAAGGTTCCAACCATGGATGTCAGAACTTCTAAGTTCTCATCTTCAATCCTCTCAACACATTGGAAGGCCACAAAGATGTGATGATAGGAATCAAATGTCGACAAGAAAATCTTCAAAACTCGACAGAGAATCTAGCATTGGAATGTCGAGCCATATAAGCGACAATGATTTCCATGGCGATGTACGAGATGCAGTGTCATTATCCAGGAACACGCCGCCCGGCCCTCCTCCCTTATGCTCAATATGCCAACACAAGGCACCAGTTTTCGGAAAGCCTCCGAGGTGGTTCAGCTATGCCGAGCTCGAGCTCGCTACAGGTGGATTTTCACAAGCCAACTTTTTGGCAGAAGGAGGATATGGATCTGTTCACCGAGGTGTCCTCCCGGACGGACAGGTGGTTGCTGTCAAGCAGCACAAACTGGCTAGTTCTCAAGGAGACCATGAATTTTGTTCCGAAGTCGAAGTTCTTAGCTGTGCACAGCATCGAAACGTCGTTTTGTTGATCGGATTTTGTATAGAGGAGAAAAGAAGGTTGTTGGTTTATGAATACATCTGCAATGGCTCATTGGATTCTCATTTATATGGTAACCTTTTGGCTTTAACAGTTCATATATGATTTTAGATGTGAATCAGTGATCTACTACTAATAAACTGGAGTGACCATGTTTATTATTGTTTCAGGACGACAGCAAGAGCCGTTAGAATGGTCTGCTCGACAAAAAGTTGCCGTGGGAGCTGCAAGGGGGCTACGATATCTCCATGAAGAATGTCGAGTCGGTTGCATTGTTCATCGGGATATGCGGCCGAACAACATTCTTATCACCCATGATTTCGAACCATTAGTAAGAAAATCTTCCATCTTGGAAAGCAATTATGAATTACTTCTCATAGTTGTACTCCATCACACACTGCATCACAGATTACAGAACAGACAGTACTCTATGATAATTTGTGTTCTTATAGTCCTTGGGGTGCTAGAATTAATCAACGTTCATGTGAGATCCCACGTCGGTTAGAGAGGGGAACGAAGCATTCTTTATAAGGATGTGAAAATTTCTCTCTAGTAGACGCGTTTTAAAATCTTGATGGGAAACTCGAAGAGGATAATATTTGCTAGCTGTGAGATTAGGCTGATACAAATGGTATCAGGCCAGATACCATGTAATGTCCTAGCGAGGACGTTGAGCCATGGAGGGGGGTGGATTGTGAGATCCCACATCGGTTGGAGACGAGAACAGAGTATTCTTTATAAGGGTATGAAAATATGTCCCAAGTAGATGCGTTTTAAAACCTTGAGGGGAAGCCTGGAAGGGAAAGCCCAAAGAGGGCAATATCTGCTAGTGGTGGGCTTGGGCTGTTACAAATGGTATTAGAGTCAGACACTAGGTGGTGTCCCAGTGAGGATGCTGAGTCTCGAAGGGGGTGGACATCAAGCAGTGTTCCAGTGAGGATGCCGGGCCCCAAAGGGGAGTGGATTGTGAGATCCCACATCGATTGGAGAGGGGAATTTGTGCCAACGAGGACGTTGGGCCCCAAAGGGGGTAGATTGTGAGATCTCATATCAGTTGGAGAGGGGAACAAAACATTCTGTAAAAAGGTGTGGAAACCTTTCCAAACATTTTTGCTTGGACAATGTCTAAGTTTCATTCTTTCTCTACAAGGTTGGAGATTTTGGTCTTGCAAGATGGCAGCCCGACGGTGATACCGGTGTCGAGACGAGAGTTATTGGAACGTTTGGGTAGGCATCCAACCACATCTTGTACCTTGTACCTTGTACCTTTTCTCGATCACACCTCGTTCACATATCGTATCTTATTTTCTATGGTGTAGGTATTTGGCTCCAGAGTACGCTCAAAGCGGTCAAATCACCGAAAAAGCTGATGTTTATTCCTTCGGCGTGGTACTGGTGGAGCTAATTACCGGAAGAAAAGCGGTTGACCTTAACCGACCAAAAGGTCAACAGTGTCTCACTGAATGGGTATGGAAATTGAGTGAACATATAGTTAGCAACCTTGAAAAGAAACCATTACCAACTACTCATACTTTGTTCTTCCAAATCAGGCACGCCCCCTGTTGGATGAGTTCCTCATTGATGAACTGATTGATCCAAGGTTGGGAAATAGCTTTGCCGAAAACGAAGTGTACTGTATGCTGCACGCTGCATCGTTATGCATCCGAAGAGATCCGAACGCGAGGCCTCGTATGTCACAGGTAAGACATCAAGTCAAACCATCTATTAGCATTGATGATGGACTTTTTCAAACTTGACACCGTTCGTTTCCATTTGGATCTGTTAAGGTTTTACGGATTCTAGAGGGCGATCTCATCATGGATGCTAATTACTTGTCGACACCCGGTTACGACGTGGGTAATCGTAGCGGTCGGATGTGGACTGAGCAGCAGCAGCAAAACTACAGTGGCTCGTTATCGGACGAGACGCTCGAGAGGTTCAATGAAAAGGTGTGTCTTGAGAGCTTAAGATCAGGTGGTTACTGGGAGAGGGACAAGACAAGGAGGAGTTCAAGTGGCAGTAATTTGTAAAGTGGCTCAGCATATTCTTAGAACACACTACAATACACCCTTTTGTCTGAATTTTTTTGGGTAATTCTTTTTGCTCATTGAAAGCTTTTGTTTGTGTATAGTAGTAGTTGTAGTAGTAAGTTTTGTAGGAAAATAGTGTAGCAGCTAAGCCTGTAAATCAAGGAAGCTGTTCTTTGGACATAGAACTCTCCCATTTCGCTCGATCTCGACTGACAACTCCTAGCGATAAAAACTTTGAATCAATTAGATTGCATTCTCGTGCTTGTTCGGTTGTGGTCGATTTTGTACTGAATGTACGCTTTCAAACTTGAGATGGGTTTTTACTTGGTAAGTTTTGAATGTTGAAGTCGGAAGAGTTGAGTGAGAAGATAATGAGACCCTTAGATAAACTTGTAAGATTATATGATAATAGTGAGTATATGTTGCTTAAGTTGGTGTATACGATACAGTACAATAATGTCGTTTATGTCAAGTTTGTATCGAAAATTACATATCAAGGCATACATTTCATGTGAGAGATGAACGAGCGCTAGCGAGAATGTTGGACCTTAAAAATAGGTGGATTGTGAGATCCCTTATAACATTCTTTATAAGAGTGTGTAAGCTTCCTCTAGTATAGACTGTTTTAAAAATCTTGAGGAGAAACTCAAAAGGGAAAGCCCAGAGAGAACAATATCTACTAGTGTTGGACTTGGGTTGTTACAAATGGTATCATATTTAGACACCGAGCGGTGTGCCAGCGAGGATGTTGAACTTCGAAGGAGGTGGACACTAAGTGGTGTGCAAACGAGGACTCTAAATGGACCCCAAAAAGGGAGTGGATTGTAAGATCCCACATCAAGCAGTGTGCCAGCGATGATGTTGAGCCCCGCAGGGTGGATATTGAGCGGTGTGCCAGTGAACACTCCGAAAGAGAGGTGAATTGTGAGATCCCACATCGATTGAAGATGAGAATGAATGCCCCTAATTTAGGATTTTATTTATTTTTCATATAATCAAATTTCAATAAAATCCTAAAAAGCATATTTCTGTAAAGTTGAGAGATAAAATATTTGGTTAAACAATAAAAAAAATTTAAATCAATTGAAACTCATAAGAATTAAGATACATCGATTGAAACAAAATTGTTGTAAAAAAAAAAAAAAATTGAATTATTAAAAATATGAAAACAAATGTTAAACACAAATTTGTTGCATCACAAGAATGATAAATTAAGAATTCGAAAGCAATAATCGAATTGCACAATTTCATCAATTTTTCAATCTTCAAAAACAGAGATCACCATAAGGAATCAGAAGAAAAATAAGATCCAATAACCTTCACAATTAACAAGACTAATCGATTCCGATTACGGTCCAGGCGCCATCAATCCAGTAGCTTCTTCATCCAAGTAGAGATTCTCGGTCTTCCTCACGGCGGCGTGCGCCAAAACGACGACGGCGCCGATGATCAGAGCGATGAGAATATTGAGTGAGGCGTTGGTCAAGAACAAGAATCCGATGGTGAGAACAGACAGGACGAGGAGAATGATCCAATCTTGGAGAACACGGCCGGCGATAACGAGAGGCTGATCGCGGAGGAAGTAGAGGAAGAGCCAGAGGGACATCATGAGCACGAAGACGATGAGGGAAATCGGATGCCAGAGGAGGGCGAGGAAGAGGATGATTAGGATGACGATGGCGTAGTTCATACGGAAGTAAGCGAGGTTGATTTTGATGCGAGCGAGAGTGTCGTGGAGGTTGGAAGGGAGAGTGAAGGAGCGGTAATCGGCCATGAGACGCCATGGACGGCGGTGGCCGAGCCCGTCTTTGAAGCGCTGTTTGGCGCGGGAGATGTACTCGAGGTTGGCGGCGGTGGCTGTGGCAGCGCCGTAGGAGGTTGGAATCGTGCCGTAGTCGGTCATTTTCGTCGTCGGTGCCGGAGCTGGGAGGTGGTTTGACTGTTTTGGGGGAATCGGGGATTGAATGAAGAAAATGTTTGGGAGATTTAACTATGAGACTTTGACGGCCAATAAATTGCTCCAAAAAATTGAAATAAATATTAAATTATACCAAATAAAAAATATCTAAAATTGATTCACTTAAATATGTTTTATTTGAAATAATGTGTCGGGTTAGCTCCTAAATTTTTTTGTATGATGCATGTGAGTGAAGATAAAATATATTAAAAAGACTCTCGTCCCTCTAGAAGTGAAAAGCAAATAATGTGACCATGTCAAGGACAAACAAGCATCAAATGCAAATTCTAGTTTAATTCAAATTTTGGGTATCGGGCAAAAAAAAAATATAAATAAGTTGAGTCGAATCAATTCTCGATATTTATTTATATTTTAAGTACCTAATTAAATTAGGTAATTCGATGATATTAAAGAATATAATCTAAAAACGAATGGCTTTAAAAAGTTGGCGTGAACAGCTTACGTGGCAGTGAGACGTGGCTTAAGGAATAAGGAATGGCTTTAAAAATGTCAAAGAAACTTATCGTATGTTTCGCCCTAAAATATTGGAATTTTCTTTTCAGAAATTTCCTAATATAATTATTGTTATTTTATTTAATAACAAATATTGATTTTTAATTTCCGTGGGAATTGGCTTCGGCAACGTGGCTGTTATTAATTAATATCAAAACGATATTAAATTATTAATTAGGAAAAATAAATAATAACAACAATTATTATTATTATTTGAATTTTACTTTAATAAATAAATGTTATGAGAAACAAATTTTAATTTTATATTTAATAGGGACCATTAATACGTCAACCACTTGACTACAGATGAGAAGGAGCCACGTGGATGGAAGAGAGCTGGCCGAAAGTGCCATTTGTACAGAAATAATTAGTTGGCACTTTTCTAAAAATGTCGACATGTCGGCAAATATATTTTTTTTTAAAAAATTTCGTTTTCGGGTGAGGAGGAGACATTTATGGGCTACCGGGTCGGAAGCAACCCAGAACTCCAGCCCAGGCATCCAATCAATTAAGCCCAAGCCCAAGCCCCAGCAAGTGTTACCAGCCCATGCGTGCAGCCACCACCAGCAAATCAGCCCAACAACCCGCAAGGCACGGTCCATGAAATTATTTGATGCATGTAATATATTCTCTATGGATTAAAATTACATGTTGAATTATTGTAAAATATATATATATATATATATTATACGAGACGTTATGAATATAAAAATGCATATGTTATACGAGATACCATAAGCTAGCATATGATTATAAAGTATTACAGAACGACTATGATGATGAATGCACATTTCCAATAAGGATGAAGTCATAAAATGCACGAAAATGTTATGTGCATCATATCACTGAACTGGTGAATATTATATGCTCATATAGTCATGAACTACTTCTTTAATTATGTATTGTATGGATGCATATACTCACAATATTATAATGTGGGGATGATTAAGGGTTTGTTAGCTTATTCTTAATTGTGAACCATCACGATGTGGTCCACATTGTCATCTGGCAATGAATTGATCGATGAGCCACAAAGGGCTTGATCATGATTAACGATGAGCTTTAAGAAGAAATGATGAACTTCAATGAGCTAAAGAAACAATGAGCCTCAAAGAGATTAGATTAAGATATATGGTCGCATCGAATAGTAAAAGCTAATTATTTAAAGACCTCGAGTAACCCTAATAAGATAGATGAGCTCCAAGAAGTTGTAAGGTCGAGAACGATGAATGTATTAGGCTCCAAGAAGCTAGGTTAGGGAGTATGTTGAGCTCCAAGGGGCTAAACTAAGAAAGAACAAATGGAGCTTCCAGTCGCTAGATTGTAAGCCTCGACTGAACTAGTAGAGTCTAGTGGCTAGGTTTTTGAGAACCTAAGATCTGAAAATATGGTGTTTAGATATGAAATAAGACTTACGAAAGACTGCTTACTGAGTATTTTTATAATCTTTCATGCGTTCTTCTTGTTATTATCGAACGTCCCTACTAAACAATAAGGCATAAAAATGAAAGGGAAGGAAAAGATGAGCATCCTATGGAGCATGGGATTTGTAGGACAATAGAGAGACATTTTTTCCACGGCGACAAGTAAGAACATTAAAAGTGGGCATACCCACACGTTTGCATGTTGACCAAGAAAATGTCGTTTCTTTTGTCTGTGTGTCCCAATTATTTGTCTGTTGGAAAGGGATCAAAATGGTCAAGTTTTGTGCTAACTTGTTGCTGTCTTCTGTGGGTCTCAACAACGTTCATCCTCTCTCTTCTTTACCCAAATTGCCATTCTCTTCTTCATTCTCACTGTTGGGAAGTTTATAATGTTGTCTTCCTCAGCCACCCACCTGGTTAATCAAATTACATCAACATTAATGTTCAATTACTCATAACTATATATTGTTTGAATGTTATGTGTTAGCTCAAAAACTTTAGATTTATGTGTTGAATTCAAGGATTCAGAGAATAAATGTGTTATGGAAATGATAAAAGCGTCCTTTTTTTTTCAAATCTTAGGTAAAATTTCTCCAACGTGAACATGAACATAACTTAGCATGTATCATCGACCTTGATGTTGATTAAAATTTGTAGGATAAAACCCTATGTAATGGCTCAAGTTCATCACTAGCCGAAGTTGTACTCTCTAGCCTTTCTCGTTCGAGCTTCCGAGCAAGGCTTTTAAAACGTGTATGCTAGGTAGAAGTTTCCACATCTAATCTATAAGGCTTTTAACACTGTGGCTCTCTCTCTCTGAGTTCATAATAGAGTTCATAATAGAGATGGAAGAAATGGAGGTGTCTCCCATTGCACGTGTGTGTGTAGAGAGACAGAAAAAAAGGACAGCAGAGATGAGAAGGATTCATCAAAGATTCACATCCGACCAATTTAATTGGTACATTTTGGATTTTCCAATCAATCACTCAAATTTGGTTCATTTGTTTGTTTGGATTTTTGCATTCAATTCATTCACCCAATCCTGACCCACAATCATTCTCCCCTTAAAAAACCCATCAAAAAGTTTCTATCTTTCTCTCATGAATCATTGTCTTTTTGGTCAATTGGCACCTTACTTACAGACATCGTGTTCATTACTTCTGACCCACTTTGGAAATTTTGCTCAAAACCCTAATGATTTTGCTTAAAGCCCTGATTTTAGTGAATACACATGCCTGATTTGATTTGAAAGCATGCATGAATGGATATCATTTGTATGGCAAAAAAAAAAAAAAAAAAAAAAAAAGTTATTTCATGGGATGTTTTAGCCCTAATACTGTAACTGTTTTGACCCGTTACGTATCATCATCAGTTTTACGATTTTAAAACACGACTGTTAGGGAGAGGTTTCCACACCTTTATAAAAAATGCTTCGTTCCCTATCCAACCCATGTAGGATCTCACAATCCACCCTTTTTGGGGCCCAACCTCCTCGCTGGCACATTGTTCGGTGTCTGGATCTGATACCATTTCTAATAGCCTAACCCCATCGCTAACAGATATTGTCCGCTTTAGCTTGTTACGTATCGCCGTCAACCTCACGGTTTTAAAACACGTTTGTTAGGGAGAGATTTCCACACTCTTATAAAAAATATTTCGTTCCCCTCTCTAACCAACGTGGGATCTCACAATCCATCCTCCTTGAGGGCCCAGCCTCCTTGCTGGCACACTGCCCAGTGTCTAGCTCTGATACCATTTGTAATATCACCACTAACAGATAGTTTTAAGACATATTTGTTATGAAGAGGTTTCCACATCATTATAAAGAATGTTTCGTTCTCCTCTCCAACCAATGTAAGATCTCACAAACATCCTCACAAGAGATATATATGATTCAAATCAAAACCCAAGCAACAATTTTTCGACGATAGAATGACTGAAAATGCATACGAATATGTTACCTGAATTCAGTGACAAAGTGATGCAAGAAAATGGAAGTTTCTAGTCTGGCTAACTCAAGTCCAGGGCACAACCTTTGTCCTCCACCAAAAGGAGTGAAATTCAAGCTGGTTGAGTCTTTATCCTAACAACCCACAATTTCAATTTTGCCATTAACCATTGAAAAACACACACAAAAAAAAAAAAAAAAAAAAAAAAAAAAAAAAAAAAAAAAAAAAAAAAAAAAAACC